TTCTTTAATCCTGTTTAAGCAAGTTAATTTAAATCCAATTTTAGGATGTTGTTCGGATTAAGTATTGTATTTCGTCGATCTCGCATGTGACTTCTTTGTCCAATTAAAAGCAAGTTGCACAGGGTATGACGTCTCTCCATGTTATAAGTAATTAATCAGAAATTGACAAGGATCCGGGTTAGGCCAAAGCATATACTTGAATTAACGGGTGTCTTTCTTCTTCTATTTTTAGACAAACGCATTTAGAAATGTAGCCGCTTTAGGATATCCTTTCTAAAATAGAGACGAGCCTCGCCAGATAAAAATGCAAATTGCGGGGCCCTCAATAACTAACCATAATAAATATTTAGAATTCAGGATAGGCTGTTTAGCGAATTTCATGGCCTTCCCCGAAAATAATAACGCGGTTAGACTCTTTAGGCGCGGCTTAATTAAATTACATTCTTAAACTCGGGTGCACATTGATGTGACCCGAATCCAAATCTCAACGGAGTCAGAATGTGTCGACGACCACGGGTGCATTGATTGTGACGTGGTTCGAGACGCATTTTCACGACGTTGCAATTCTATAAAAATAAATGATAATAATAAGAGCGGTTTAAACTTAATAAAAGCACGTAAGTCGTAACATATATTTAAATCAGATATTTAGCCATTATAACAATTTAAGCGACCGTGCTAGAACCACGGGATTCGAGGGTGCCTAACACCTTCCCTCGGGTCAACAGAATTCCTTACTTAGAATTTCTGGTTCGCAGACTTCATTTGGAAAAGTCGAAAATTTCCTCGATTTGGGATTCAAGATAAACCGGTGACTTGGGACACCAAAAGCCAAACCTTTCCCAAGTGGCGACTCTGAATTAAATAAATAATCCCATTTCGAATATTGTCACTTAAATTGGAAAAACTCCCCTCGCGCATTTACCCTTCGGGGCCGGGCGCGCAAAAAGGAGGTGTGACACCTACCATTTGTTGCTCCTCTATAGTTTCATTCAAAAAGAAAATGTAATGGAAAAGGAGTGTGGAACTATCTAAACAGCTACATTACTTTCCAATTGAGAACTTTGTTAGAATGGTCAAGGCAAATCTGGCCATTATGTACCATGCAAAGCTAAAGCGGAAAATCCTAGTGTGTGATCAAGAAGTGATAAAAATGCATATGTTAGCCGAAATTTCAGTATATTCTCATCTTCTAAAGCTTGTGACTCTTTTGTTTAAATATGGAATTCTGAAAGAGATCTCAGATCTGATGTATTAGATTCTTATAAAGCTTGTGAGTTGTGACTCTTGTGTTGCAGACTTGCAGCTATAATCTTCAGTTACAGCAAAGCATGAAAGTAGCAAGTTCCAATCTCATCTTCTATTAGCAGATGCTTATTTCAAAAATTAACAACAGTTAGATCAATCATTCTGATAATTAGCCTAACTGGAATAGGTGTCCATATAATGGTAGTCTATAAAGGTAAATAGAAGGGGTATTAATAGCACTAAAATGACAACTCGGGAATGAAAATACAGGTACAATAGCAGATTAAACAGACCAAATTAGGGGAATGCAAGGATCATCATAATCATCTTGCTATTCCAATATTCACAAGCCAAGTCTTAAGCCCCTAATATAGAACTGAATCAATATTTCTCGTCAGCGCAAGAAGTATATAGTCCTATTAGAAACTTTACAAGAAAAATGCTACAGTATCAGTTATCTTTTTTGGTCCAAGATTCCAATCAACACCAAGTTTCAGTATCTGTAGTTTTTATTTTACAGATTTAGACAGGAAGAGGGAACCTAACTGAACAGTAGATTTAACACTATAGTTTAACCTCTTGATCATTATAATATTTGGCAAAAGCAAGCTTATGTACTTTTTGCCTCACATTCATTACAATTGATACAAGAACCTAACTGAATAATAGATGTTACATAGGATTTTAAATTCTAACCTTTTAACCAATGGATTACTCGTTCAAGAAGAAGCTTTGTCCCTTTTGCCTCACATCATAGCAATATGGTTTCAGGTTTTGTTTTGATAAAATCTGTTTTGGATTTGTTGTTTTTTGGAAAACAATTGTATTTCCAATCTAAGGCTTTTTAATTTGGTTTTAGGAAACAACCTTGTTTAAAAGGATATCAGTAAAATTTAAAAAGTTGTTGGTGCTTCTAGATTAACTGTTCAAATTAACTGCTCTCAGGTTATTGTCGATTTAACTGTTGAATTCAAAGTTGAATTTTTCTCCTTCGTCTTACTTACACTAGAGTTCAAATTAAAGGTTGGGTTGGGATATGTATTTCTGGTATATTCTGTTTTTTTTTTCTTTGGTAAACAGTATATCTGCTGCTAATTGTGAACTATTCTCTGAACAGTTTTCATGGTGCTGAAATTAATGTTGTCATTGCTGGTATGTTAAGCTGGTTAAATGCCGCTGGAATTTGCTGCTCGTGCTGTAATTGCTGTGTTCTAAAGCTGATTTAATGTTGCTGGTACTGAACTTTGAATGTTGAGGATGTATCTGCTGTTTTTAATGCTGCTTCATTGTTGCTGGAACGGATAAATGCTACTATTGAGGAAGGGGTTTGGAGAAAATTAATCAAGAGAAGATGACAAACCTAAAAAGGTCAGACTCAATGGTATAATTTGTGAACTCGATTTTATTTAGTTTAAAAAGCAAACTCATTTGATATAATACCTTTCTAAAAGTGGCTTTTCAAGTTGTCGTTAGCCAATTACTTCAACTTCTCGATACAAGTTTTGACCCAAAAAAAAAGGAAAAATGAAGAAGAAGAATCCCAAGACAAGTGGAGTATATAATATTATAGGCCAGAGAGGTGTATATAATTTTCACAATTGATTACAAAGACTAAGATGATAATGAGTATTAAAAAGACTTCAGAAGTCAATGACCTGTATTTTAATCTTGGAATTGCCAATCTCTATTTTATTCTTCTTTCTGTTGGTGGCCTTTCAAGTTGTCTATAGCCAGTTACTTCGACTCACTACCAGATCTTTCTGAATCCCAGTGCTTACTTTTTCCCCACTCTTCATCTATTTTAGGAACTTCACGTCAACATGCTATGATTGGGAAAAATCGAGAATATCGAAAAGAATATCAACATTGAAAAATGAGCTCTATGTTGGTTTGATTTTATTTATAAATAGAGAAAATGTAATATTATTCAATTCTACGTATATATCTCCTCATTAGTTGAAATAAGAAACACAAGTTTTCTGTTCATGTATGTAGTAAGTAGTTAGAGATAAGTGTTATTGAAGTTAATTTGATTCTATTGATTGACATCTATATAACTATTGACGTAGTTAAAATGTTTTGCTGGTGATTTGATGTTAAATGTTTAAACTAATATCAAGACAAGTGGAGTATTATTATTTTCATAACAAGGGACATGTATATTATTTTCATAATTGATTACAAAGACTAAGATGATAATGGTAGAGAAGTCGATGAGTATATTTTAATATTGGAATTCTCAATCTCTATATGATTCTTCTTTCTAGTAGCGGCCTCCAAGTTGTCTTTAGGAAATTACTTCAAATTCTCACATATCCTTTTTTTTCTGAATCCCAGTGCTTACTTTCTTCACCTATTTCTAACAGCTTAATATTGGTTGGTTTGCTGAAATTTAAGTGGTCTAAAGGTATGATTATATGTTAGAAATCTCTTATTTCCTTATTTTTTTCTGGTGATTCTAATTAGTGTTTTAAACCCGAAAAATTCAAAGGAGTTATCCCTGATATTTGGCCGAGTTCAAGACGGGTGCTGAACATAATTCAAAGGAAGTTATCCCTACAAAGCTGCTCAGGTTTGTTTTCTTATTTGCCTCCTTGAGTTTATGCTTGATCTGTTTTGTGTTTTGATTGGGATTTTACGGATCTGTTTGCTGCGATTTCATCATCCTAATTTCTCACAGATCTTCTATTTTGTTTTGCAAGATGAAATCTTTTTGTTATATTTTCGATAGATTTGGCCTTAATTAGCAACACAATGACATAAGATGTTGAAATGCTCTTCTGTAGTGAGTAAATGACCGGCTGATACACAACTGTAGGAACATTTCCAGCTCCTGATGTTTCTTTTGACCTGTTTTAATTATTCTGGTTCAGACTGTGGTTATGGATTCTCTTCATGTACACGGGGTTATTAGTTTAATTATGTCTCTGATGCTGAAAAATTGCTGATTTTGTCTCTGTTTGTGGTAGCTATATTTGTTCAATATAATCAAAGGTCTTTCTTATATCCAAGAGTTGGAAATAAGTTGCCGGATGATGATTATTGAGTGAGTAATGCACAGTGCTTATATAGAAATAGAAGCAACAAGTAAAGAGTGCAATGAATCTAGCTGTGTTGGAGAAGTCATTGTAAATGAGCAGGAGAAGAGATCTATGATGAGTTTTCTTTTCCTGAATATTTGGGTGCTATACTTTGTTCTTTATCTTATAAACTTCTTTTAAAAATTAATAGTTATGTGGGATATTATGTGTATGATTTCGTTTCTAGACATTTGTGTGATTATGATTGACATTTCTGGTGTTAGGGTCTAATTGCACAGAAAGTTATTATTCATCAAAATAATTGCTCCACACACACCATTCGATGTTTGACCTTGATCAATATTTCGAGGATTTAAAAATTAAGATGAATAAATTATTTTCTTGATACATATCAACTAACTTACAAGATGAAAATCTTTTATATGCTGAAATATTAGCAAAATTAGCAACAATCTACTGCAATCAACTTGATAACAAGTGTTACAAATTGTTTTAGACAGCGAAATTCAACAAGACAACCATAGGCTCAAGCTGAAGTACAATACTTCCCTTGTTTTTGTAGCCCATCCGCCTTGTTCCGTAGATATCTCCATATTATTTTGGTAATTGGGTTGGGAGATCTATGATCAATCCACCTTTTTTTTGTTTGAGGTGTCTGGCTATATGTGCAGTAAATTGTCATCTGCTATATGCTTTATGCTTCTTCCTTCAGATTCTTGTGTTCTTTCTTCTACTTCTTTAAACGAGGACTTTTCATTAAACGGGGATTTCCGCACCTGCGACTTCTTTCCGCAGATGCGCTGCCGCTTCTGCGGTGCCTGGGCCACATCTGCGGTCTAATCTCAAAATGCCTCAGACCGCACCTGCGGTCCTCCTACTGCTTCTGCGGTGCCACATCTACGGTCCAATACATGCAGGTGCGATTATGACAGGTTCAACCAACTTTATTTTTATCATAAGTCCAATTCAACTTCCGTTAAGCACCCGAAACTCATCCGAGGCCCCCGGGACCTCAACCAAACCTGCCAACCAATCCTAAAACATCATTTAAACTTGTTCCAACCTTCGGAACGCTCAAAACAACATCAAAACACCAATTTAACATCGGATTCATGCCTAAGATCTCAAAAAACTCTCAAATTACACTTTCGATCAAAAAGTCTATCAAACATCGTCCAAATGACCTGAAATTTGCAAGCAGGTCACATTCAACACTACAGAGCTACTCCAACTTCCGGAATTTCATTCCGACCCCGATATCAAAATCACACTATCGAACCGGAAACTTCAAAAATTCAACTTTCGGCATTTCAAGCCTAAATAAGCTATGGACCTCCAAAACACAATCCGAACACGCCCCTAAGCCTGAATCACCCAACGGAGCTAACGTAACCAACAGAACTCCATTCTGAGCCCGTCTTCACACTGCTTCGACTACGGTCCAAATTCTAAAGCTTAAACTCTCTTTTAGGGATTAAGTGTCCCAAAACACTCCGAAACTCAAAACAAATCATTCCGGCAAATCAAAATAGCATAAGCGAATACAGAGAAAGCAGTTAATAAGGGATCTGGGCATTTATTCTTAAAACGACCGGCCGGGTCGTTACACTTGGAAGTTGATTTTTCAATTTTTCTTCACTCCCACGTGCTTAAAAGAGAGTGCACCTACCTTTTTTGCCACATAAGCGTCCAGGGAGGTTATAGCTCTCAGAAGGCCGAGTTTAGGGGGATAATTAAGACCACGAATAGTTTAGGAGTGTAACTAATAATTCGTGTCAAGTTTAGGGGAGGGGGAGGTGAGGTATTCCGCCATATTTTAATTTTGTCTCTGATGCTGAAAATTTGCTGATTTTGTCTCAATTTGTGGTAGCTATATTTGTTCAATATAATCAAAGGTCATTCTTATATCCAAGAGTTTGAAATAAGTTTATAATCTTATGAACTTCTTTTAAAAATTAATAGTTATGTGGGATATTATGTGTATGATTTCATGTCTAGACATTTGTGTGATTATGATTGACATTTCTGGTGTTAGGGTCTAATGGCACAGAAGTTATTATTCATCAAAATAATTGCTCCACACACACCATTCGATGTTTGACCTTGATCAATATTTCGTGGATTTAAAAATTAAGATGAATAAATTATTTTCTTGATATATACCAACTAACTACAAGATGAAAATAAAATTAGCGACAATCTACCGCAATCAACTTGACAACAAGTGTTACAAATTGTTTTAGAGTGGGCAATTCAACAAGACAACCATAGGCTCAAGCTGAAGTACAATACTTCCATTGTTTTTGTAGCCCGTCTGCTTTGTTTAGTAGATACAACAACAACAACATACCCAGTGTAATTCCACAAGTGGGGTCTGAGGAGGGTGTCACACCTCCTTTTTCACCCGCTCCCCCGTAAAGAGCACAGAGGGAGTTTTTCGAATTAAAGGACAATCGAAACGGGATTTTATTTAAAGATTCAGAGTCACCACTTAGGAGATTTATGGTGTCCCAAGTCACCGGTTGAATCCCGAATCGAGGAAAAGATTGACTCCGTATTACAGNCAGAAATCCGGATAAGGAATTCTGTTAACCCAGGAGAAGGTGTTAGGCATTCCCGAGTTCCGTGGTTCTAGCACGGTCACTCAACTGTCATATTTGGCTTATTTATCTGATTTTAATACATTTTTGAACCTATGTACCAATTTTAACCCTGAACCGCTTTTATCATTTATTATTTAAAGAATTGCAACGTCGTGAGAATGCATCTCGAATTGCGCCACATAAATGTACCCGCAATTTTCGATACGTTCCAACTTCGTTGAGATTTGGATTTGGGTCACATAAATGTGCACCCGAGTTTAGGAAGATAACATTATTAAATACGCGTCTAAAGATACTAACGCGTTGTTATTTTGAGAAAAGTCGTAAAGTTCGCTATGCGGCCTGTCTCGAAATCTAAGCATTTGAAATAACTATCCGTTGAGGGCCCCGCAATTTGTAATTTATTCGGCGAGGCACGCCTCACTTATTTTTAAAAGGGTAAGCCTAAAGCAACTATAATTTTGCTATTTTTATTGTCTCTAAAGTAAAAAAAGGTCCTAATTAATTTGTTTTAAGAGCCACTTCCCCATTTAAGAAAGAAACTTATAATTAATCCGCATCGGGCCTCCGAGGCCTACCCGTGGAACAACCAGCTTTCATCTCCAAATCCAAGCACAACTTTCCTGATCGATTAACTCATTAACAATGATTACAATTATTAGCTTAATAACACATTACCATTAATTTCCAATCTCGTTTTAACTATTGACAATGGCCTATTACTATCAGATTGAAAACATGTACCATAACATTATTATTACAACTAAAATATATTACTTGTCTAAACTACAACACTCACCAATGACAACATTGTCTAAAACGTACATAGATATACACATTATAAAATATATAAAAGAGAATTTTATAAGAATCCATAGATACAAGTTTGATTCTTAACAAAATATGAATAACGAATGCACTCTTAATCAATAACCGCATCTAAACCCATACTTACTGATTTCAGCTCAATTTTATTAGTACAAGTGAAATTCATGAATTCAAAAAAAACACTTTCTTGTTTCAGCTTGCAGCTTGCTTCTAATTTCAACAATTATACTACAAAAACAAAACCTAAACCCATATGACTATTACATAATCACATTCCAAAGTCCAAACAGTCCCGGAATCAAACAGCCCAAACAACTTATAAATAGTCCTAATTATACAGTCGTTTATTATTCATGTAACAGTAAACACATAACTAATATCAAATAGAATAGAAACATTCTATAGTTTGAACAATAAATCCTCTGGCCATTTTATTTCAGCTTCAATGAGCATACACCAAGATGATTCAAAGTAGTGTACCTGGAATCGAGAATAGCAGAAGAAGAAGAAGATGAAAGGCAGGTTAGCAGCAGCAGTAGTATACAATACAGCAACACCACAGCAAAGAACAGAGCAACAACCAGCAGAAACAACACCCAGCACAAGAAATCCAAAACCCAGGAGTGAAACCAGAAAATACCAAGCAATTCACAGATAGGAACAGAATGTATTCAGAAATGAGACATGAGAGTAGATTTTCTGATTTCTGTTTTTCAGATTTTCAAATAAAGACACTCAGAACCTCAATTAAACAGTAACAAACTGATTCTGATTTTCAGTAGTAAAGAAGACCTCACTTTTCAGTATTTAGCTCTCAACCTATTGAACTCTTTAGGGTAAAAACTCAACTTGTATTTCACTCTTAAACTCTGAATTTCTGATGTCAAAATCCAGCCTAGACTCTCTAAAAAAAACTGAAAGAGAACTGATTTTT